GGATTGCAATCACGAGACGTCATGTCTGGCGTGACGCGGAGTTAGTGGCGATAGCGTGCCACTACAGAAGTAGCTATCCTACTCCCATTTGCGTTTTTTTGTCAGTGTTCTCTTGCTTATGCTTCTGTGCTAACTAATAAAATACCTGAAAGTTGCCTTTTGACGAATTGCAAGGAGAGTAGGTCAACAAGTCCTTCAATACTAAAAGAAGAGAATGACCCGCAATCTTACTGTGAAAATAGTGACATTCACAATGGGATATCTTGGCCGGTTCGCTTCTCACCGTACGTAAAAATCCCGCAAGCCTGTTTTTCACCTTGCTGAGACTGCATCCTACTAGTTGGCCACTGCAGCGTTCATCATACAGTCTCTAGTGTTACTCCAATTGCGAACTAGTGCTCTGTACTGTCATCTGGCAGTGTTGAATGAAAACACAACGCGTAACATGGGTGAATCATACTTAACGCTTCCTTCAGGATTGCTTAGACAGTAATTAAACATGCTTCCTGCTTCTCGCTTGTAGAATTCGGTAATATTCAGCCCGAATCTACACTCTGAACCGATTAATATTTTGTCCCAAAGACTTAACTTCATATTCCTTCGATAGATTTTCGTTAAAGTAATAAAACGAGCATGGAAGTAGATGAAGATTCCCCAGCAACATATTACTTGGCCTTAGGGTTAAGGTGGGGGTTTGAGTGTGCATTTTAGAACCTAGCTTAGAAGTAGGGCTTTAACTTAGGACTGGCGCATAGCTCTAGTTTTCAGATGAGTTTTAGGTGTTAGGGATTAAGTTGTAGCTTGCAATTTAGGATTTTTTTCATCGATTGATATAGTTGTAAATGAGGCAAACTACATCTCCGCTGCCTTTTCCTTCACATAACTGCTATCATAGGCATGGTCGGCTACCCGAATTGCATTATTTTTTGTGGGCGCTGTGTTGATCTGTTTTATCTACGTACGCTTCTTTGCAGAGGTATTGCTTTACCCTTAATTTTTGTACCCCTAGACGCCCCGTGAAAGTCCCACTCAGCACGAGTTCCGTATTATAAGTATCCGTAGTTTGAATTTGCTCGCTTCTGTTCAGTTGGGCTTAATTAGGGAAAGGATAAGCGAGGAGCACCGAAGTCGCTGTTGGGTACAAGGTAGCTACTAAAAAGCATTGATACATAAGGAAAAGGCAAAC